GGGGCGACCCCCGGCCGAGCCCTGGGGTGGCCGGACACTCCCTCGGGGACGCTTCGCCCTCCGTGGTGGGCCTGACCTGGAGGACACCCCTGGGGAGATGCTGCCACCGCCATGACAGACGTCCTGGGCACTGCTGAAGGGTGGCTGGGCCTGGGCCAGGCCTGGCTGTGGTGGCTGGGGCCCCAAGTCTCTGCCATGCATATGGCGCCGTCAGCTCCAAAGAGGCTTTTCTTCTTCTCCTCCTTCTCCTTGCAGGGCCCCGGCCCAGTCTTGCTGGAGGTTGAGGTCCCTGCCAGCCCCTGGCAGTGTCCTGCCTCCAGCTGCAGGGATGAAGACCTTGGGAAACCCATGGTGGCCTCCACACTCATCACAGCATGGCTCAAAATGGCCTGGCGTTGGCGCGTTTGCCTCCCCGACCGATTGACCGCTAGCATGGGGGAACCTCCCCTGCCGCCTTCTGTGTGAGCTGTGCGGCTTCGGTCGTAGTAACGACATTGTTACCAGCAATGGCTGCCAGGGGAAATAGCGGCGCTGAAAGTCCTGCGCTGAAATGACTTGATCTGACCTCCGGCACCTGACTCCATCACAGGGTGGACTGAACTGCTGGGTGTGAACTCCCCCAGATTTTCTGGAAAAAACCAAAAGCTAGTGTCTGATAATTTTTTTTTTTTTTTTCCCTTGCCTTCTCTTTCTGTATTGAACTGGGACCAAACTCTCTGATCGTGGCCTGCTGCAAGCTGCCGTGGCTGGACCTGGTCACCTTGGCTGATGGCTACTAAAAGAGTCAGAGATACTTCTGGGACGTTCACACACCCAGCAGCGGTGCTTGCTTGGGGCACGCAGATGTAAAGTACGCTGGCTTTCTGGAAGAAGACGACATTTCTGCCAGTAGTACAACATCTGGTCACCCTAGGAGAGAATCAGCCTGCTGCCTCCCTCTTGCGCTGTGTTGTTGTTGGCCAAGGAACCGAAAAAGGTCGTTTGAAGTCATTTCAGAGTTGCATTTGAAATGCAGGACCGCCATGCCAGAGAAAGCAGAGAAAACGTACAGTTTTGGTGGCGGAAAGGAGTGTGTGTGTTTGTGTGTTTTTCCTCTTCTTAGGAGGGAGCTCACTCGGAGCTGTAGTGATGTTGCTGTTGTCCTGCACCACCGATTACGTTTATGGAGCAGGTTATTTCCAAATTTAAGCAAAGGTTTTTTATTTTTCGGTAGCATAGACTAAACCAGTCATGGCTGGAGTACTGTTAATGAAAGCTACAAAAATATATTTTGAGGAGCACGCAGTTATTTTATAACAGTGAAACTGAAGGTGTTGTCAGACGGAAGTGACTTGTAGAGTGCTCCTGGTCAGGACTTGCATGACTCTGCATTCAGAAATATGTATTAAATAAAATACCTAGTTTACAGTGATCAGGTTTCTAAGAGAAACTTCTAGCCCAGAATTTTGAAATAAGAGCAGAGAAGTGTCTGGAGTAGGAAGTGCACTGAGAAACAGTGGTGCTGAAAATGGAAGTTCAAAGCTAAGAGTACCTTAGGACTTGCTCTGGTGGGAACTGCTTCCGTAGAGCTTTTTGCAGTGTGTTTTTTGTTTGTGCTGTGTCGGTCACACGTCTGTGCTGTTTTAATTTTGTGCTTCAATTTTGCATCATCTTGTAAATTGCATTTTGAATCTTACTTTAGTTCTGGTATCGTTACAACTTAAATCCTGTCTGGTCAACTGACTTCCTCCTGTGGATATTTGTCCTTTAGTCTATTTTTCCAGCTTTCAGATCACATTGTGGCAAAGCTCTCTGCCCCATCAGTCAGTCCTGTCTCTCTCTTTTTTTCTGTTGCTTTGTCTCTCCTGTGCTGTTCACAAGAGATACAGTTTGAATTTTCTTTCCCTGGGATGTGGGTAGACACTTGGTGGGGTGAAAAAGTGGGAGGAGGATAAGGGAGAAGGCCATTTGATGTGGTAAAGGCTGTTGATATGGGGTGGGAAGATGGAGTGAAAGCAGAGGGAAGAAAAAGTTTAGTTCTGTTTTTCTGGCTTCCTTCAGATTTAATTTTTCAGTCTCCCCTGGGAGTAGATCTGGTGTTTATCTGATGCTGCTGTTCAGAGATTCCTAAATCTTCCAGGGTGGAACTGGTTCTTCATCAGCATCACAGCTGCTCTGCAAGTCCTTTTCTGTGAGAGCTGTGCTCTGTTGCTGTTGGCAAGGCAGGGAGATGCAGTAATGGTGTCACAGCTTTGCTACAGAGATACAGCAGTGCAGAGTGTTCTCCTTGGAGGTTCACTGCAGCAGTAGAGGGGCTAAAACCAACATATAGTCTAAATGCATTCATGGAATTTCACTGGGGAAGTTGTTTGTTTATCCTGGGCAAAGAAGCAAGTCTGTTTTCATGCTCAGCATTTTTGCTCTTTTCTTTTACAGTGAAATTCTTCTTGTTTCATTTTGCAATCCTTCTGACGTCTCTCTCTTAGCTTAAGCTTCTTGTGAGTGATGCTGTATTTTATGCTCTGTTTCTTGCCTTTTTAGACCAGCACTGCAATATTCCAGTGTTTTCCTTGTGCGTTCTCGTGTCAAGATTTCTTTCTGTACCAGTATTTTTTCTGTCTGTGATCACAAAGAGCCAGGGCGAAATGTATGTCCTTGCACTAGATAAGACAGTTTTTCATTATTTTAGTTATAGTTAAGCCAAGTAGATTAGTATGAAAATAACACGTTAGCTATAATCTCAAGGTAATGATGTGATGATGCCATGGCTTGTGTGGAGTGTTGCGTTTCCTAATACAGAGGGATTTTCAAAGGCAGAGGAAAAGATTGGGGAAATCATAGATTCTGTGCGACCTCACGAGCATGTGAAGGTGCTGACTTTTCAGTGTTTCAGGAACTGGTTAAGCTCTAGAAAAGCTTGTTTTCTAGGCTGGAGGTAGGGAAGGAGGGCGCCACTGAGCCAAGCGTAGGACCTTTTTGTGGCGTAGAAAAAGGTTTCTCAGGTGAAAATTCTGTCTCCAGGACATGACTGCAGTAAGTGACAAATAATTGCAGTGCAGCAGTTACAGAGGGTTAGAAAGTTTCTCATGCAATAAAAGATTTTGTTGAATACCGTAATTTTCATTGACTGAATGGTTTAGAGATGATCTGGAATTGCCGAGACTTTTAAAGTTAGCCACCTATGCAACTTTGGAACTGGTTGATGGGACTGTTATTTTATTACCTTTTGATGTCAGATATCTATCTTTTGAGAAACTAGCTGTTGATTTCCAAGGTCCTAAAGAGTGAACCATCTAGAGTGACATGTGAAATTGAAATTTGTATATACATGAAGGTGACTATAACCCCTTGTTTTTCCTACAGCTAATTAGAAGCAAAGTGTCTGTGTATGTATGTATATACACACACAAGCACATATATATATATATGCACAAATGTGTAAAATTTGGTAAATATTCATGCATGCAGTGTGCGTATATATATGCAATTATGCTTAGTTACATACATCTGTATTTGTACAGGTATATATATTTATATGATTTTTTTTTTCAAAATACACTTATGAGCTATATATCTTGTATTTTGAAAAAATTTCATATACATGTATAAAATAAAAAAATGCAAACATACAGGTGGCAATGTTCCTGTGTTTTGATTGGCAATGATTATCTAACGAGGCTGGGAAGCTGCGCTTCACTACATTGCTAGGCTATAGCTCCTTCTTTCTTGTGTTCACATCAGCAGCACTGACTTCAAAGGAGCTTGACTGGAGCTGTGATTTAGTTAGTTCTGTCAAATTCATACCGTATATGAAGCAAATAGTAGATGAGGAGTTCTGGCCTCTTCCAGCCTCAGCAGGGCTTATCTCAGTGAGAGCAAGGCTGAGCTTATTCTTCAGCTTCCATGGCCTGTATGTTAGTTAAGCATGGGCTAAGATGTTATTTCACATGTTAATTACAGCAGGTGTTTTCCGGTGATGGAATCGCAGATTTTGTTTCACGTAGGGATTGTGGATGGCAGCTACTTCCAAGTTATATCACCTTTAAGTCTGGTTCTAGATTTGAATTGCTTGATCTTCTGATTGTATTGACTTCTTGTCTTGTTAAGAGATTCACTGGGATCCTCTAACAGTCTCATTGTGTTATCTGTAAAAAGCTGTAGACTTTTGTGTATTAGGTTTGTATTACCTGTTAAGCAGTACAAGCTAGTATAAGATGTACATAGCATGAGAAAGATGCCTTGCTCTCTGTTTTTTTTGTTTCAGAAAATACACTGTTATGATAAATGTAGATAACAGAAGCAATGGCAATGAATTAAGTGTATTATGTCGGAATTTTTTTTTGATTTTGTGGTGCATATAATAGGATATCCAATTGAGGAAGTTATCACATCGTAGTTCTAGGAGTGGTGGAAGTTAACACTGCGTAGACATTATTGTCATACAGCAAGGCATTTTTTTACTACACTGGAAACCTGTAGGGGAGCCATACATTTCTGTGCATCAAAGTGGAATCACTGTAGTAAGGCAATAATACCATCACATGTTATGATCACAATCCTGTACCTTGATGAGTCAATGGGAAGTTTGGCATGGATTTTGATGGGCACAGGATTGGATTGAGCAGAAGTGTCACTACACCGTAAGCATATGTGCAACTTCACTTACGCAAGTACCCTGACATCAAGACTGCTGGCTTGAGTAACGCTGCGCTTGCACTCTAGCCTTTGTAGAGTGGAGTTTTAAGGTTTGTCCCTGTAATGGGGCAAACTCCCACCACAACCAGGGACATTTTGTTACTAGAAGTCTGGTTTGGTTTCATATTGGAGATGTATTGTTTTATCACTGGTGAATTCCCTTCTGGAAGAAGAATTTTAAGAAGGTGGAGTAACAGTTTAAGGGTTTTATAATATAACTGCAATAAGGTTTTTATAATCTAAACATTTTGCTGTACTTCAGTTCAACTTACTGCTCTCAGTCGTGTGGCCGTGGTTTGGTCTTCAACCCACACCGAGTTTTCTGACCCATGTGAAGGTCCGTGGATGTTCTGGAGGTTCCGTTTGAGTATCAAAAGCTCATAGGCCATCTGGAAGATGTTTTGACAACATTGGACCCAAACTGGCTTTTTTTTTCGTTCAGACGAGGTTCCTTTTTGGATTTCAATGGGAAAAGTATTCTGTGCTTGAGTTTGATAAGCTAGCCACGAGTTGAGAATGCATAGATTTAAAGTGCAGCAGTGAAGACTGGGGTTAGGTGTCGGGAATAACTTTACGATGATGAAGAGAGTGAGGCATTGGAGTAATTTCCATGGGTAGCTGGCAATCTTGCTGACAGGGTGTTCTTTAAGAATGATCTGAGCCAACATGTCAGGAATGACATGGGGTGGCTGATCACGTCTTGGCCATGGGATGGATGAGGGGACTTTCTGAGGTCCCCTGCAACATTCTTGTTCTAAAAGGCTGCGAACACCTGGATGAATGGATACGTCACTTATGTATCAACGTAATATTCTTGTCACCTGCCAAGATCCACATCAGAATTTTCATCAAACGGATTAAAAGCCTTTAAAATGTTAAAGACTTTTCCTCACAGTCAGTTTTTTCAGTTTATCTGGAATCCGGTCATTTGGATATCAACAGTTGGGCTGCTGCTGTCCTTCAGCAGTTAAAGCCTAAAGTCTCTGCTGCAACATGCCAATTTACTTGCAAGGTTGGTGGCCCTATTTTTTCCATGTACTGAATTTGTTTTAAAAGCATGCTCAGGTCAGTTGTCTCTGCCTTTGCATTAAATTTGTCCTGAGCCATTGCTACTGAAACAATATTTTATAATGATATTCTTATTACCTAAATGTATTTTACTATTAACACGTTTTGCATGATTTTGATACTAAGTAACTACCTTGCTGTCTCTAGCATTGTGATACTCATAAACTGAATGGTGAATAAACTGTGCATGCAGGTTAATAATCTAATCTCACTGCCTGTGTATGGACAGTAGGAAGAATAACATTTACTTCAGTACTAGCGTATCTATTATATCAGTATTACAAAGCCATATTATCCTATGGTTGGAAATGACAGTAAATTAAAGGGAAAAGAAATGCCTACACATCTGGTTGTCATTTTTTTGAGCCCAGTATTACTTATTGCAATTGGACAGTGTCTTTTCATAAATATACATTCTAGAATTTATTTCTTTATCTGCTCTTTAAATTATGTACAAAACCAAAACAAAATCTGACATATGGTAGGGATCTTCCAAGAAACAGAGAAGATCTGTCTACTAAAAATGCCTGCAAAACAGTCTCACAGTAGTAATGGAAAGTATGGCTGAATCTAATCTTACTTCATAGAACTATTTAAACAATAATATATAATACACCTACCATGCACTGACAGTGAGTCAGTAAAATACTGCATGAATATGCATGACAATTTTATGAAGAGAATATCATTATAAAATATTTTTGAAACGTCTTTGTGTAATGAACCTTGTACATGGAGGCTTCTGTCCATCGTGGGAAGCTAAGAAAATAATAATCAACATTTCATTTACATATGCATGATGCTGCAAAATAGCGTATGTAAACTATTTCTTTCTGTACTGTTCAGTTACTTCTGTCATCAGCTCCTACAAGTTTTATTTGCAGTCATTTGTTCAGATCACTGGCGCCCTCTTTGCTGTTTCTATAAATTCTGTAAAATAAATGTCCATAAATGTACTTTGATGTTTTCTTTCCATAATTAACCACTGTGTTGTTTGGAACCATACTGGCATTTTACGTTAAAATGCCGCTACTAGTATGGGTACACCTGCTGCAAAGGGAACATGAAAACAATAGTTTACACCTTTGAAATTGTACAGCAATCTGGTGTAAACAAGTAGAATCTTATTTTTGTGAACTTCTGCATCAGCTCAAATATTTCATCAAATTGCAACCATTACTAACCCCCTTTACTGCCCCCTTAGTTCCTGAGTCCTTTGCAGCCTTATGCAAAGTATGTCACTTTAGTGGCTTCTAGGAGCAAAGGGGTGGAGCTCTTTGTATTTTGAAACAAATGATACACAAGCATATTATTATTACTGATATACATTTTACATGTATATTTGTATCTAGACCCTTACAGAAATTGTTTTACTGAATATTAAATGCCCAGTCTTTTCCTATATTCTTCAAAATACTTTTTTCTCTGCCAAGTTTCTAGATTCAGTGAAATTTGTAAGAAATATGACTATGCAGAGACCATATTAAAAAGCTGATCAATTCTTTGATGTCTAATTAAGAAGAGTACTGTGTTCTCAATGTCCTAAACGATCTCATGATATTGTAAGCAGGTTGTGAATTGGCATGCTTGTATGGATTGCACCCAGCATGTAAAAAAATTTCCTTTAATTGTTATGTGAAATGTTTGCATATGTGGTGATTATCTGTGAACTCATTGTACATGTAGCCAAATGTGTTTCCTATTGTGCTTGATTTTGCTGGCCATTCTTGAATGTCTTGGCAACTCAAGAAACATATGTTCTGTGCTGTCCTCTGTAATGCGTATACTCTTTGATGTTTCGTCATATTTCGTCAGCTTTTATTTTACTCTTTTTCCAACAACATATCTTTATATTTGTTGGAAACAAATTTATGCAAAGACAATTTTAGTAAGCTTTGCTCCACGTTATTTTATTTATTCATTTGCCAAAGCTTGTTCAAACTTTTAAGCATCCACCTGGTATAAATCTTTTGCAGTTAATCCACCGTCAGACTTGAATTTTACAATAATAGATGAACATAATGTTCAAATGTCATGGAAAAGGCCACCAGATGCAATAGTGGGTTACAGGATAACTGTGGTTCCAACAAATGGTGAGTTCTGTATAATTTTGTTATGGTATCAAACTTTTGGAAAACTTGGGTTTATTTTCACTTGTATCTAACTTAAGTATGAGAGTAGCTGTTAATGTCTTTCTATAGTTTGTGATCAAGACTGGATAGCAGCAAAGAGCATGCAAGAAGGAGCAGTGATAGTTCCAAGTTAGAGTTTTTCTTACCATAGCGTTTACCCTTTGGGGACTCCAAGTAGTAAATTTTGGACACCTTTCCCTTGCAAGGAACAAAAAGAAGGTAGAATCATCACTCCACTCCTCTCTTTGCTCCTCTTCTATGTTTTTACCTTAAAGTTAGGGAATTGTATTGTACTTCATTCAAGTACTTCTCCCAGGGGAAACATGGCGTGTGTCAGGTAATGATGCAGTGATGTCATATAACTTACTGGTAATGGCTGTGTAAGACACTCATTATTCTATTTCACTTTGAGAAATAATCAGTGTAAAAGTGACAGTGAATCAGAACTGGATCATGGTTTGTTAGATGATGGTGCATTTTGTTTATGCTTTTTAAGTTTCACATTTCCTGGACTTTATTAAACACTTTGGTAGTTTTGTTCACTGTTGAAAACGGGTTAATTTCAAGTTTTGTTCTTCAAAATACATATTTCAGGGAAAAAGAAAGTGTATTGTTCTAAAATTATCATTGGAATTTATATAGATTATTCTCTATTGCCTTTTTTTTATGGTCAACTTGTCTTTGATATTGCTAGTTTTAAATTCTACAGTAACTGTTTTATATATTTGTTGCAGATGGGCCTACTAAAGAATTTACTCTTTCACCTAGCACTACCCAAACTGTCTTATCAGATCTTATACCTGATATAGAGTATGTTGTATCAATAGCTTCTTATGATGAAAGAGAGGAGAGTCTACCTGTTTTTGGCCAACTGACAAGTAAGTACCTGTAATGTAATTAGAAAACCAAGTAAGATAACAGAGTGGTCATTTGCAAAACCTGGCTTTGTTCCAGTTCCTCAACAAAATTGCCACATCCCTAAACTCTGATCAGATGTAGCTGTCTGAACAGCCTTTTTCCATTAAACATAATTCCAGTAGAAGCAGAGATTATTTGCAAGAGGTAAGAGGCGACTAACATGGGTGTGTCGTGTCTGACAATCTCTATAGAGTTCTTTGCAGAGCACTGGTTCTGTTGAACTAAACCTACTTCCTATAAATTACATCTACTGTAGCCAATAGGAAGACTCTCATTGTCCTCAGTAACGAATCTGACTGGCTTCCTCTGTGTGTGTGTATAAAAAGCTTACTACCTTCATCAAACAATAAAATGTGACACAATATATCTGTATGCATAATAAAATATGGAATTTAATTTTTTATGATTTCTATTAATTAAATATAAAATAAATTTAAGTAAAAATATTAAGCACAGCAGACTACCTTCTATGACACATTTTGTTGTGTATGTCAGGCTTCCCAAACAACCACAGAAAAATTGCTCATGATGGAGTTCTCCCGTGTGTTAGAGAGTGGCAATTATGGTATTTTATCCAGGGATGTTGCAGTTAATTTTCAAGAAGTTACTGTACAAGATGTACAAATACAAAGGATTCTTAGTTATTTGCATTTTCTGTATTTTGTGTTGCCCTGAATGCTATGTTGTCAAATCTGTAAGTACAGGTGAAGTTTTCATAACTTGCATTTATGTTTTCATGTTTCTAAGCCTTGTCAGATTTGTGCCTCTAATTCTCTACATGCTTTTCTTTGATGTCAACAAATTTAACCTGATTTCCTCCATTAATTCTCTCTATGTTGTGCTTTGTGCAGTTCAGACAGGTGGTCCAGGGATACCGGAGGAAAAGAAGGTTGAGGCTCAATTACAAAGTAAGGTGTTTTGTCTTTCAACTGATCTGACATTTTAGAGATAAATGAGGTCTAGCTCTAAGGCCCCATAGAGTTAAACTGTGTTCCTCTGTTACCTAGCAATGAAGTTAACTTGTAAAATTGTCCCGTGTTAAGAAAACACGGGAAGGGACTGGGATGGAAAGAATTTATTATAGCTTCATTAAAAGAATAAGATGCAAAGATGTTACTGAAACTAGAAATTTCACGCAACTAATCTGAGCAAGTCCATAAGCGTCTTAGTGCTATTAACAGAAGACATTGTACTGTGAATAAAAGGCATTGCAGAAGAACCTGTGCAGCTGTTACGGGAAGATAAGCATGCAAAGCAGAAGTGGTAACAAAGTGAAATGTTCCCATAACATCAAACTGTTGCAAAAAAGTTTTATATGTGAGTTCTCATCTGCTGTGGCATAGCGGTTCTTGTGGAATAGCGTGAGAGGTGTCTCAAAACTATCAAGGTGAGAGTTCTCTTTTGGTAATGGTGGTTAGAAGGCCCGTATGGGTGTTCACTTATGTGAATGGTGCTTCCCTAAGTAAGGTGTTCCAGATAAGAATATCAATCTATTAAATATCCATTTGTTTTAGCTTTTACCTACCAAGTTTGTGTCAGACATTTCTCACTGATCTGTAAAAGTGCAATTGCTCATTTGCTAACAGTGTGGGGTTTTTTTTTGTTTTTTTTTGTATGTTCCAGGATGTTCCATAAGTGCAATGACAGATTTAGTTTTCCTGGTAGACGGTTCATGGAGTGTAGGGAGAAATAACTTTGGATATATTCTGGACTTCATGGTTGCCCTTGTGTCAGCTTTTGACATTGGGGAAGACAAGACGAGAGTTGGAGTTGTTCAGTACAGTTCAGATACAAGAACAGAGTTCAATTTAAATCAGTATTTCAGAAGAAGTGATCTTATTGATGCGATTAAAAGGATACCTTACAAAGGTGGCAACACAATGACAGGTACATGTTTCCCACATATGTGTTTATTCAGCATGTCATTTTATAATTCAAATTTGCTTTAAACCCTAATTCATTCAAGCCTAAAAAACCACAATTTGTGGTGTTGTTTTTAGGTGAGGCTATTGATTACCTGGTTCAAAACACCTTCACTGAGTCTGCTGGAGCACGAAAAGGCTTTCCCAAAGTAGCAATTATCATTACGGATGGAAAAGCTCAAGATGAAGTCGAAATTCCTGCAAGAGAGCTTCGCAATGTAGGAGTTGAAGTTTTTTCTTTGGGTATGTTGAGTTTTTCTAATTATTGAGAGATTAACATTCCTAAAGAAGTAAGTTATATGTTTTACAGATTCTGTATTTCGAGAATTTTGCTATGCCAGTCTTTCCATGTTTATGCCTTGAAATGGGTCGTTTGTGCCCTCCAGAGTGGAACATACTAGTTGTGTGAATTTAATAGTAATTCTGTAGCTCTTACATGGAGATTAAGATGACTGACAAGCATAGTTTCAACCTTGGCCTTGTTGAAGATACCACATTATTTTCTCAGGTTGCAAATGGAGTATGTCACCTCATTGCATTAATCATTATTTTGTAGGCTGATTATTGATAAAGGCAGAAGACAGCACTGGATTAAACTCAGCTTTATCCCAAGATGTTCTGATATTTTATGAATACATTCACAGGTGTCTGTATTTTGTGGCCACTTAACACAGTCCTGTCTATTGCGACTTCTAGGAATCAAAGCAGCAGATGCAAAGGAACTCAAACTAATTGCGTCTCAGCCTTCGCTGAAGCATGTGTTCAATGTGGCTAATTTTGATGGAATTGTGGATATACAGAATGAAATTATCTTGCAAGTGTGCTCTGGTGTTGATGAACAGCTGGGTGAACTGGTTAGTGGGGAAGAAGGTGAGATACTTTATATAAATATATTTATTGACTTCAGTTTATTCTGATGCATATTTAAGGGGCTATCCCTGCTTCCTGTGCTTTATTTCTGGAGTTTGATCCATTGCCTCACATAGCAAGTGTGGAAAAACAGGTCTCAGCTTTGTGCATTTAAATACAGGGGAGCAGAATATGTGACACAGTGGATTTGGAATAGCTCCATTATTCTGTAGTTTCAGGGGCAACACAATGATGTGCAGTTATCAAAGTCTCATACAGTCAGTTTGGACACAGGCATCACTTCTGTGGAAAAACATACTAAAGGGAAAAAGTCTGCTTGGTGAAGGGGCAGGATATGTAATAGGGTATGAACCGAGGAGTGAAAACTGGAGAATACTGAGAAAATACAGACATCAAGCTGTATCGTTGCAGCTTTCTGGCCCTGTAAGATTCTAAGTAGTTATTTTTTCTTTGACCAAAATGGCAGCAGATACCACTCCACTGTCACAGTGCTTTGCTCAGGTCTGCATTTGTTCACACTCTCTACTGTGTTTTTGTGGGTGTAGCTTTCATTTCTGGTTGAAGCAGTATTAAAGCAAGATAACATTTCTCCTGGAACTTCTACTACACTCAGGGGACCTGATGCCCCATTTGGACTGTCCTTTAATTCACATGTGTTTGTTTATGCTAAATAAATTTTTTTTTTTAGTAAAGATTAAGCAAAGATGACTATTCCAGAAAAAATACAAGAAAATCTGTTTATAATTGTAATTAATATTTTGGATGCGCTTTTGATTTCTTTCAGTCGTGGAGCCTCCTTCAAATCTAGTGGCCACTCAGATCTCCTCCAAATCTGTTAGGATCACTTGGGATCCATCCACAAGCCAAATAACTGGGTATAGGCTGCAATTCATTCCAATGATGGCTGGTGGAAAACAACATGTATTGAGTGTGGGTCCTCAGACTACAGCTCTGAATGTTAAAGATCTCTCTCCAGACACAGAGTATCAAATTAATGTCTATGCAATGAAAGGACTGACCCCCAGTGAGCCAATAACGATAATGGAAAAAACACAACAAGTAAAAGTTCAAGTGGGTGAGTTAGGAGCTACTATGTTATTGTCACATGGTAGCTTTTTGTTATTTAAACCTCTGGTGCTTGTTTTAATATCATACCTTTATTATTTATGAGAAACAGCTTTACTTGGCATGGTTTATTTTCATTATAAGTAACTAGGTATGAGACATGAATTGCAGATGCAACTGTAATGCTGTGGCTGTTGAATATCTGTTTATAGTGGTGATTCTTTTTCTTTACAGAATGCTCACGTGGTGTGGATGTGAAAGCTGATGTGGTCTTTTTAGTGGATGGTTCCTACAGCATTGGTATCGCCAATTTTGTTAAAGTAAGAGCCTTTTTGGAAGTGTTAGTTAAAAGCTTTGAGATATCGCCTCGAAAAGTACAGATAAGTCTTGTCCAGTACAGCAGAGATCCCCATATGGAGTTTTCTTTGAACAGATACAACAGAGTGGAAGACATAATTCAGGCTATTAACACCTTCCCCTACAGAGGTGGATCTACCAACACAGGCAAAGCGATGACATATGTGAGGGAGAAAGTATTTGTTACCAGCAAAGGGTCAAGACCAAATGTGCCGAGAGTCATGATTCTTATTACTGATGGAAAATCATCAGATGCTTTTAAAGAACCTGCAATAAAGCTGAGGGATGCAGATGTAGAAATATTTGCAGTTGGTGTGAAGGATGCAGTGCGTACAGAGTTAGAAGCAATTGTTGCAGATTTTGATGCTTTTCAAAGAATATCATTTGAACTTACACAGTCTGTCTGCCTACGGATTGAGCAGGAACTGGCTGCTATAAGGAAAAAATGTAAGTAACTCCTATTACTTAGAGAAATGTAGAAAATGCAATGAAAAAAGATCTGAACCAATGTTTCGTGCTTGTAGTAACCTAAAGAACTGATATTGATGAAATTGTCCATATACAAATGATAATTTTAGTAACTGGGGATTTGGTTCTCATTTTCAAACATATGAAAAGCATCAGAGGAAATTAATGGAGAAGTGGAGATGAAAAAGTTGTTGGAGAAGTATTTTTTTTCCCTCCTCTCCTAGGTACCTAGAAAGCTATTAAAATATGTGTCTATCTAGAATGACTTTAATGGATGTGCTTTGCTGTTACACTCAATGTCTTGAGTAAAACTGTTACTTACTAGGGCCATTCTTCTTTAGCTGTCCAAAATGAGGTAGCTAGTGTAAGCTTGTTGTTTAGAATTTCAAAGACAAAGGAGCAATGCTGACACCTCCAGAGGGTGATTTAATTAATTTTTAGGGTAAAATGAATGGCCTTCTGAGATGGGCTTAGACAAGACAAACCCAGACAGCAGATGCTAGGTGATATTAATCTTAATCTACCTGTAAAGGCTGAAGTGGAGTAGCACATGAAAGTCTTCACATGCATCCACATTTGGTGAGTTTGGATGGTGTTTAATATTTAAAAGATTTCTATATGACCAACTTTTGGTCAGCTAAAGTTACTTATGATTAGTTGCACAATCAGTGTCCCTACCTACGCTTAGTAGAACACTAACATTGAATAGTCCCCAGTATTGAAAATCCCACTCTCTTTAAAAATAAGCCTTTTGTTTCAGGATAGCTTTGAGGAACAAACCAGCAAAGCAGCCTTTGTTTTAGAGGGCTCAAGCAATCTTGACATCCCCACTGTTAGGCTGAGTAGGCCAACCAAAACAAGCCCAGGATGTCAGGTTTGTGTTTGTGCCTCATGTCAAGTTAATTGTTTCCCCTTTGACTCCATTCCTGAAAAAATACTGGGATTTATTTTGTCATATTTTGAATCTAAATCTGAAAAATCACAAGGATTCTTAGCTCTCATTGAGGGTGTCATGTTATTGCTGTTAATGGGACATACGAAAGAGGGAACCCAACTTGATCATCAAATTCTAACTTAAGTTTTCATAAGTACATTTTTTTAGATGGACTGTTGTCATTTGATCTAGAAATCACTGAGTTGGTGCTTCTACTCATTGTTGTAGGATTTGAGACAACATAGATATGATCTTCATGAAATTTGGTAGCTCTAAGCAAGTATAGAAAACAAATACTGTTGCATGTACAACAAAATATCTGTTCAATTAGAATAAATCAAATTATTGAGGGACATTTTTTATTTATATTAGAGACTTTGTGTTAAAAACTATTCTAGCAAGTATGCCTCATCTGTGCATTTTAATTTCTATACAGCCTATGTACCTGCAAAGAATATGATCTTTTCTGATGTAACATCGGACAGTTTCAACGTGAGCTGGTCTCCTGCTGGACCCGAGGTTTTGTCCTATCTCATTAAATATAAAGTAGCCATCGGTGGAGATGAATTCATTGTTTCAGTACCAGCTGCAAGTACTAGCTCAGTTCTCACCAACTTGCTACCTGAAACTACTTACACAGTCAGTGTGATTTCTGAATATGAAGATGGTGATGGCCCTCCCTTGGATGGAGAAGAAACCACCTTAGAAGGTAGGCTTCCCATTATTCTCAGACACAAGAAAGTCATATGTTCAAATGAGAGTTTGCTTTGAGACAATGAGTGGAACAGCCAGCTAAGGTTGAGAAGCTGTACTGGTATGCAGGATGAGAATAAACATTATTGTCTCTCAATGTGTTTATTAAGAATATAAAATTCCCATAATAGGTCAATATTAAATTGTTAAGATTTGATTTTATTTTTCTTGAAAGTTGGATGGATACTGTGTTTCTCTGCAGTGGCCTATTTTAGTGGTGTGTTGTCAATAATAAATTCATTGGCATGTATTAATCTTAATATACACTTAAGTTGTACTTGATCGTTGTAGGTCCCTTCCAACTGAACTGTTCCATTCTGTTTAAAAATTATGACTCTGATGCAGAAATGCATGTTGACTTTAATATATTTAAATTCAAGCATGTACCTATGTAATTTGCTGTGTGTACATCTAACTTATATTAATAGATGTTCTGTTTTATATACCATAGGCTTAAAGGGGGCTGAGTTTTTGGTCATCTGTTTCTCATCAGAACTTCATGGGTCTGATCTAGTAACTCTTAGTGATTCAAAACTTCCATTAATGTCAGTGAGAGTTTATGTGATCAATGACAGTAAATTTAAGCACGATAGCTGTAATTTTCTTGATAGAGTTGCCATGGTGCATTTCTGCTGATTTAAAGAAGGATGACAGTAAATTTGATTTTCTATTCCAGTAGTTGAAAACCCACTCTAGTCTAAATCATTCTTTTAAAAATATCAGTCCACTTGTTTTCATTATTCCATGCTGTCATTTGTGACCTTTGGTGATGTAAATGGTTCCAAGGCAGCAAAACAAGCGGCATGGAAATTTGTTAATTGCTCTTTCCTCTTAGGATGGATAGAAACACACATTTCTAAAATAGCTTAGTTTGGATGTTAAGTTTGGAAGATAAGTTTCACTGTTGGTGTGCGTATTTCCATGACTGTACCAGTCAGAATGTTTTGGCCACACATAACTTTCCCTTAGGAAAACGGACAAACTCTTGGCTGATAGAATATGTAGCTTGTGAGTGTAAGGGACAGGAGAAGGAATAGCTTTGATAACAATAATCAGTGTTCCCAGGTTATAACTGATACTGCCTTAAATAATTGTCAGCATCTTGATCTGATGAAATCCCAACATGCCTGAGAAGACAGAATTGTGCAGTTATGTAAACATCAGCAGCTCTCCATGCGGATCTAGCTAATAATTTGGGCCAGACAGCTTTCTTGGCAACTAACTTTGGTGTTGGCCTGTTAAAGAATTTCAAATTGAGTATTGTGTTTCTAATTAGTAGAAAACAAGTTTGTTTCATTATAACTAGGATTATTAATTGTTCCACTCATAACAGGTCTGTAATTTAACACTAAAGAAACAATGCTTTTGGCATACAATGTGCCATGTGAATTATACTTTAGATAGTCAATAATAAAAAAAATTTGCCTAAATGACAATGCTGCCAACTTCTAGGGAACTTGCAGTACAGTAGATCTTAATGTATGCTGAAGAGTCAAGTCCTTTGGTGTGCCCACTGAGATTGTATGAAATGACCTGAGCAGCTGTATCTTTTGTCAAGGAGCAGGCTAGGTCAAATAATTCACGGCAGTTTTTCCTTAGTTTTTCAGATAACAAACTATTTATTGTCCTTGAGTTTGAGACTTAATTCAGAAGCCTTTTTAAAATATTAGATGCAACTCATATTGCGATTAATGCATTTTTTTATTGTGAAAATTAAGCTTGAAGAAACAGAATAGTTTTGGTGTTTTTTTTTTTTCCTGTTGCATTTACCCTGATCATTTCTTTAGAACAGCAGATCTCCCTGTGTGTAGTCAGGTGTATCTGACAAGGATCTGTAAATGGAGGTGGTGCAGAAGCAAATGGCCACAGCAAAGAAACCTAGACAGTTTGTTAAGAAATTTCCCCACTGTGCCAAGATGTCCCTTACACAATTCAGTTCTACTGTTACCACTAAGTACAGTCAGACTGCCTTAAGTTTCAGAAGTGGTTGTATAAACTGTGATTAATGTACTTTTTGAGGACAACTTTGTTACACTGCTGGTTGTAGCTCTGGCCCTAAATTTTCAGAAATGACTAATGGTTTGTGTACCTTAAATCAGTGGGAGGGCTATATATGCTGTTATTTTGGTAAACTGGAGGAGCAAACAGAATGGTTGAAATGATTTCACATCAGATTCTGCTTGATTAAAAGCAAATGTTTACAAGTTATATGTGTATATTTTTTCTAGTGAAAGGTGCTCCTCGAAACTTAAGGATAACAGATGAAACCACTGATAGTTTTGTAGTTGGCTGGACTCCAGCTCCAGGAAATGTCCTACGGTACAGGCTTGTATATAGACCACTTCCTGGAGGAGAAAGGAGACAAGTGACTGTCTCGGCAAATGAAAGATCAACTACTCTGCAGAACTTGATCCAAGATACAAGATATGAAGTGTCTGTTATTCCAGAGTATCAGTCTGGGCCTGGGAATTCGCTGAGTGGATATGCAAAAACTGATGAAGGTACATGATCAGTGCTGTGAATGTAGTAAGCTGAAGAAGAACTCCGTGCGTGCTGACATATTCATACTGAAAAGAGAATAGCCCATATTGGCCATATGTATTATCCCAGATGAATAGGGAATTATAAAATTATTCAAGCCTAGTTGAGAGGTAATTTAAGACAATATAATTTACCAGAATTTTAATATTTCATTTTAAAACATAGTCTTTTGGACCTGCAACAATTAATATAGCAAGGTAACTTGGGTGAAGAATCTGTGTTTTTAGTTGATTGTCCTCGTCATTCTTCACATTGTCAATAGTATAAGTTATCTTTCTTTTCAGCAAATTCAGACGCTGTTTGCACTTTGTTCTGAAAGGCTAGCAAGGAATGAATGAAACATTTAATTGATGAAAGTTATCACTATAGCTTTAGCCTGTATCAAAATGTATGATCCTTAAAAGGTGTCATGCCTTATGAAACAAAATCCGAAGAGTACAGAGACAGTACAAATGTCCTGATCACTGGTGAAACTTCACTGAGATTTTAAATGTTAGAAACCAGAAAAACTATCATAAAAAAAAACTCTGTAGGAAGTCATGATGTGTTAACTTCACTTTTCATTAGTGGTCTTTGACTTGATTCTGCAGACAGCGACTTCAACGTGGATCTTGGCATGTTGAAATTAAGCATATATTCAGGTGCTAGTATGGAGAAGTGTTCCAATATTGAGCTTATTTTAATAGAAAGAAAGAAATAGGAGGAAAAAGACTTTATTGGACATTTTTGTCTGAGGAGGGTGGGGATGGAGCTGTACAATCTTTGTGACAGTAAAGTTATACAGTAGCAGTGTTAGTGCAGGCTATTCAGGAATTATTTTTTCGGCATTAAGACTGATGTTATGGTAATCTAAGAAATAAACCAAGAAATGAAGCTTACTTCAATTTGTTTTCAACATCTTTTGACATGTGCAGTCCGAGGAAATCCGAGAAATTTGAGAGTTTCTGATGCTACAACATCAACAATGAAGCTGTCTTGGGGTGCTGCTCCTGGCAAAGTGCAGCAGTACTTTATAACATACACTCCAGTGGCAGGAGGTGAAACTAAGGAAGTGACTGTGAAAGGTGACACTACCTCGAAAGTGCTGAAAGGCTTAGACCAAGCCACTAGGTATGCGTTGACTGTGTCTGCCTTGTATGCCTCTGGAGCAGGAGAGGCCCTTTCTGGAGAGGGAGAAACACTTGAAGGTAATCATTTATTGTTTCTATACAGTCATTCATTTATTTGCTTGATGCTTAGGGTGTCTTAAAGTGTACTGTCTTCCTGAGTTTTCTGTAGAAGTAAATACGCAAATGAAAAATAGGCATAAAGACATTCTCCTGCTTTACAGGCATTTTCCAAACCTACTGTCCATCAGAGAAAACAGTGAGGTCAAATCACTGATCGTGGAGGGGACTCTTGGTCTCTTGAAAAAGATATTGCCAGAAGCACAAACCGCAACTGACTACTTCTACACTTGCGTCAGTGAAATATTTTGTCTTCTAACTCTTAACTTTTGAGCAGTTCTAGTGGCAGATTGTTCTTAATTACAGAATCACAGAATGTTAGGGGTTGGAAGGGACCTCTGTGGGTCATCTAGTCCAACTCCCCTGCCAAAGCAGGGTCACCTACAGCAGGCTGCACAGGACCTTGTCCAGGCGGGTCTTGAATATTTCCAGAGAAGGAGGCTCCACAACCTCCCTGGGCAGCCTGTTCCAGTGCTCCGTCACCCTCAGAGGGAAGAAGTTCTTCCTCATGTTCAGACGGAACTTCCTATGCTTCAGTTTGTGCCCATTGCCCCTTGTCCTGTCACTGGGCACTACTGAAAAGAGTTTAATGTAAGAACAGGTTTGTTCTTCATGTCAGGTTTAACTGATGGGGTTAAAGTATCTCATCCATTTGAAAATTTGCAGGGTTTCTACTGTACTGAGACTGAAAGGTGTTCAGGGACCATTTTTGCATTAGAGAAGGAACGTCTAGTCTAGGCATAGGAATAACGAATCATATCCTGCGGAGCTGAGCCTTAACAGGATGCTGGCAAAAGTGTAAGTTGGAGCCAAAGGCTTTCTTATAAGGCGGGGAGGCTGCTCTCACTCTGCCTTAGAGTGGAGAATTTCTCAGACTTGCTCTCTGTGAGCATTCTCAGTGTCATCTGTTAATTGTCAAAGGATAGGGAAAGCTGTCTCCTAGGCCATGAAAGGAAGTGTGACTGTGCTCTGTGCTGGCCAGGTATGTATTGCTAAAGTCTGGCACTGCAGCTGTGTAGGCACAGAACTTGAAAATATGTTACAGATGAATTATGTGGAATTAAAACTCGTCCATTGACGCTAATGGAGTTATAGTAGTGGTATACTTGGCTTTCAGTTTCTCCATCAGTTTAACTTTTTGTTTATGACATAGGTTAGGAAATAAACTAGAAAACCTATTTTAAATAGGAAACTGTAAAAAAAAAAGTTCCAATGATTCACCAATGTGCTGAATTAGTCTCACTAAAATTTAGGAATTTATTTCAACACTGCAGTTTGCAGCATGCACTCTCTAGGATTTTTCTGTGATTAATAAAGAAAGGCAGATACTTCCAGAAGACAGGTACTCCATCTGAGATCTCATTTTTCCTTCAAAGTAACATTTCTCTGTCCATTCACTATAGAAGGAGCAACTGAGAGCTAGGCACTAACCCCCTGCCCACCCCACTACCTATGTCTTAGACAATGATCCAATACACCTACTTTCTCTGATGGCTGCACCCTGTCTCAGTGTATCAGGCACCTTGCAATTCATGCTGAAAGTTCCCTAGCTGCCTTGCTTTTATTACCCATGCAAAATCCAAAACGCTCCTTTTGTAGGAGAAAATAACCTGTCTCCTTGCCCAGAACAGTGCTGAGATCCAGGTAAAGGAGAACGGGTCACTGGAACAGGCTGCCCAGGGAGGTGGTGGAGTCTCCTTCTCTGGAGATATTCAAGACCCGCCTGGACAAGGTGCTCTACAACCTGCTGTAGGTGACCATGCTTCGGCAGGAGGCTTGGACTAGATGACCCACAGAGGTCCCTTCCAACCCCTACCATTCTGTGGTTCTGTGAACAGGTAGCTGGATGAGATCAGAGAGTGATCAGGATTTAGTGAACTTCCCAGTTGGTGGTGGTGCTGCCGTGTCCTTTTTTATGGTATGCTACTATGTCTAACACTTTTTTTAGGGGAAGAGGGAGTGTGGAGATATGTAGGCCTTAGTCTGGGAGAGTTTGAATTCACATCTCTACATCTCAGCAGATTCACAAGGCTGTAGTGTGTGCTGGGCAAGAGTCTCCTTTACTATTTCTGTTGAACCTGAGCCACTGTACATCCAGGAATGCAAATTTCACTCTCAGAACAAGAGCAGACTGGATCCCAAGTGGACAGAGGAGCCTGACATCCCTGATTTTTTCTCTGTGCTACCAGTGGAGAGAGGAATGCCTCGGTCTTCCTTTACAAATCTTGAGAGGCCTCTGTCTCTCTTTTAAACAAACTGAATTGTTCACTTCATAGAATCATAGAATCATAGCAAGTTTATTGAAGGTTGACCAAGTTAACCATTTACATTTTGTGGCAAGGTTTTCATTTAGAGTCTTTGTAGTAAACCCAGGAGAGACGCTTTATTAACATGGAGCTCTGGAAAGATCAAGTGTGTTTTGAGCAATAGAAAAGTATTTTAAGGCATTACCTAGAGCTTCAGTTAAAAGACCCTGTAAACAGAGACAGCGGTGAGTGAAATACAGTAGAATTGAAACGGCAGAGTCATCAGAAAACCAGAACTGAGTCTCAGGTAGAGACTCCCTTGTCCTTTCTGCTCCTTCCCCCCAAGGGCTCTGATTCTGATTTGAACTTTCTGCAGTGATAAATTGTCAATAAGAAGAGTCAAAGAATTAAAAAAAAAAAAAAGTTGATTATAGCTCAGGACTGGGTTTATATGCAACCAGATGGAGTTTAAAATGGATGTTGCACTTCAGAAGACACAGAAGCATTCCTGTAGGAGGTTTTACTCTAAGTAACTGAATTAAAACCTTATGTCAAAAACTCTGTGACAGATTTTGTCTTGTGATAAATATGAATAAATAAGCATCCTCACTTAACTGAATTACTTTTTATTCAGTTCCTCAGCTGGGAGAAAACCAAATTAAAAATTAGTTTTATCATTTTGACAGCTATAGCTTTGTGACTCAAATGCATATCCTTTGAAGATTCAGCTGTATTTGAAAATCCTATCAGGGTGCACTCCAGAGAATAATACTCTTTGCGTTAAAGCTCTCTATTAATTTTTTTGTGGTTAGATAAACTGTTAATAAGAGCATATACAGATGTCAGTCATTACTGGGTGATCAAAGGTAAAGGATAGAATACAAATTTCTGTTTGCGTGACAACAGAGGCCTAAATCGTGATATTTCCTCATGGAATGTCTGCCGTGTATTTCAATAATCAGCATATCTGAAGTTTCATGGGGTAATAAAAATACTTGAATTGGGCCAAAACTCTTTGGATGTGGTCTGTAGATATTTTAAGACTCTCTGACTAATAGCATGAAAGGTTCTCAGAATATCTGTTGAAGTATGTGTAAGACAAGATTTCACTGTATGTTACTGTCTTACCTCACTGAAGGATAGAAAGACAAAGCCTTTGAGGAAAAACAGACATTTAGGAACAAAAGGGTTGCAATTTTGGAACTGAAAGGTAACATTCAAACTTCAAAGCTTAGTATAGAATTTTACTTGAAAAAAGAAGTGATGTTGCCTGTGAAGCTATAATAAATGGAGTTGAACTCGGCTGAAAAGTTACACAGGTCAGTGAAGTGAGTACTTGACTAACTATTAGCTGAAATAATTTTTCTGACTGAGACTGGGAATGGGACAGATCTTAACTCCTGGAGAAATAAACTTATCAACAGTAATGACAAAAAAGCTGTGAAAGGAAGCATAAAAAAGTGTTTAGTATTTCAGTTAGTTTTTCCATGAGCCATAGTGTCTGAGAAACAAAATAATGTGGTGTGTGTTTTTCATTGCCAACAGCATTGAAGTACTGAGTGCTTAAGTATTTTCCTGTATCAGGAATCCCAGTGAGGCTTCCTTGATGTCTTTGCCACATGAATTCTCACCAAACCTATTCAGTCATTGATGCCATAGTTGCTGGCCACTTCAGTTCATCATCATCTCAAAAGCTAGGCTTGAGATTCGCTTTCAAACTGAGACAGTTGTTAGTTCACGGTATTAATATGTAGTGTAAGAGAAATCGATCTGGATGTAGTGAACATTTCAGCACTAACCGAAAAGTGAGAAAAGAGGACCTGGATACAGTAGCTTCTCCAGCTATTGTATAGTCAAGTGGCAGGAAATGAAAAATCCAAGCTCTCAGATGTTTATGGAATTTTACTGAGTCACTAAATGGTCCCCTGTGACTATGGGTGTAGACAAACATTCTTGCTGCCTGCAGTAATGATTTATTTTGCTCTACATGTAGTTGGAGAACTCACATGGGCAATTAGTGTATCTCAGTTGCAAGGGTAGCCTTCAGCAGAGAGAGAAAAACGGATATTTTTTTAGACTGCTTCAACATGCTGTGCAAGAACATGTCTGCCCAGGCATTCATTGAAGATCCTTCAGTTATGTACGTTATCTCGAAAGTATTTTTGGAGCAGTTACAAATTGCTCTTGGAAGTTCCTTCTCTTCCTCTGCTTTGCTCTGCACGATAGTTTTTCAGTGTTTTGAAGTGGCTTGTTTGTTTCAGGAGACTTGGGAAAATCTATGCACACAAACGCAGAATTCATTCTGTGTACTTGATATCATTTACCAGCTTGGCAATCTCTGCTTCTCCTTTTGTTTTAATTTTTGCTGAGTATATGCTTGCCCTTATTATTTCTCTGCATAAAACAGAGAGGGCAAATATTCCCCCAAGTAACTGTAGATAATCTCTTCTATAAACTGTTTGCATAGCTATCTGGTCCATCCCAAAGACAAACACATGCCAGAGGATCAGAATTTTATGAGCTGTTCACAGACAACCTGGTATAGAGAGTTTGGCAAATGAGTAATCAGAAAATTACTTATTCCTGAGGGTGCTGTTCCATACCATCCTGGTAGCTGTTATTCAGAGAGGATAGAATTATTTCTTTTTTGTATTTGTAGAGCGGGAAAAGGAAAAATGTTTTTGCCCCATTGTTGAAGGAGTGTGCTTTCCTTCT